TATATATATATATATATATATACGTATGTAAATACTACAATAAACTACTACTACTACTACTACTACTACTTGGACAGCTGTCTCCCTATTTCATGGTTTTTCACTTATCACGGGGGGGGGGGGGCTTGGTCCCTAACACACATGATAAACAAAGAGAACACTAATGCTTTCAGAAAACTTGAATTATTGATCAAGACTGCTTAGATGGATTGCAAGAAAATTTGGCTGTTCAGACGCAAAATGCAAAGAAATGAGAAACGTTTGCACAGTACAGTATAGTTGTTGTTGTTTTCTAATTTGGAAACCCTTTTCTTAAAACCGATTCCCAGTTTAACTCGTGTGTTATGGTACATTTTGGCAACAGCACAATGAACATCCAAAAAATTCAGTGCGAGATTGTCTTTGGTGTATTTTACAGCAGAGCAGGAGAACAGCACAGAAGAATACTCTGACAGCTTTGGCCATAAAGACCAGCCTCTTTATGCAGAACATTAGCTTTAATTTTGCATTAGTAATAATTTGTGTTTAAAAGCACAAAACATGTTCCTCCCTCAAGCTTTAATGCAGACAGCACGGCTGACTTGTCCTCTGTTGTTGCAGGAATAAACACAATCCAGGATCAGGAGTTTTATTCTGTGACACAACCGTTTACTCTTAGCTGAACCCAGTTTTATTTATATAAAGATTCAGTTTACGTCCAACAAAACATTCCTAACATAAAGATAAGCCTGTAAGGCAGCAAGAAAATGATCACGCATTTATACCTAAAGAGTATATAAAAAGCACAATGCAGTAAAATTAACACTTGTGTGGAGACCAGGTACGTAGGTGGTCTATCTGTGAGGCCAAGAGCACAGAGTTTTATGAGGACGTGCACGTCGCAGACCTCCAGAGAAGAGACAGGCTTTCACATGTCCACAGAGTGTGTTCACACAAGTACTTTTTCTGTTAACTTGATCCGATCAGTCAGGATGTATGTTAACATTTATAAACGGAACCAGAGACAGTTTGAAGTACTTATTGAGCTCGGACCAATTAAATAGGCAGTAGATTAGTAGGGTGAATGAGCAGAGGCCTGGGAGTTGTTTGACAACAAATTATTTTAGAGTGAAAAAAATGATCAAGGAAGAATTAAAGAGTGATCCGAGTAAAATCCTCGGCACCAAGTTGAAACAGATGAATGTTATGCAAGAAGCACCTGAACCTGTGGAAGTAGTTTTGTGAACATGCATCTATTTCCCCCAACACTTCACACTGATCCAGCACAAGAGTTCAACCAGTTCATGTGAAGAAAACCATGAAATAGGAAACCACCTCAAACTAATCTAATCCACGTTCACGTTTTTTTAATATTCTGATCTTTCACATTCGTTTCTGTTCATTCCAGTATATTTTTAATCTTTCTAATAAGTTAGCTATTTTAAATGAAGCATTCACTCTCATGTTTTTCTGAGCTTGTCATCTTCCTCTATGTTTTGATCAGATTTATTGAATCCAGTTGCACTTTTAAGAAATAAATCTGTATAATTTATTGTAATAAAGATTATGAAACATGCGAATAATCACATATAGATTTAATTTTTTTTTACAGGAAATGTCCCAAAAGACTTAACATATCTTCAGACAACAACAGTATAATACACACAAACATTATTGTGTTTTAAACAAAATCAGACTTTGCATTTCTTTTGGTTTTTACTGTGTTTGATGCATTTACAACGGTGGAAAATGAGTAGTTTCGTTCTTAAAAACATTACATCATAATACAAAGTCAAATTGTATTGGCTTTATTTTTTTTATTACTTATTTTAACACTCCACCCAAATTACACCACACATCCACGCTCCTAAAACAGGAAATAAGGTGAAAAATAAACTCTTCTTTGGCCTCTGGTAAAATCGCTACATCTAAAAAATTTAACTAGCATTTCTTGCAGGCATGTCAAAGTTAAATTAAAGATCTCACACAATCCGTTAGTGCTTGTAGTATGTTTTGAGGATGCTTCTCAGCCACTATCACACCAAATGTATTATTAAATATGTATAAAAGTGACTGAGGTGTAGCCCTTTTAAAATAAGCTGCAGGGTTTGTCTTAAATTGGGTTAACTCTACGATAATAGTACGGTAAATGTAATTACACTAAAAAAACACTCGCTACATGAATTTACTTTCTGTAAATGAGAAGCAACTGGATGATGTCCTCAGGCTGCTGGCTGATCTTATAAAATGATGACTCTCTCAGAAGAATTCGCCTAAATGTCTGAATAATAATGAATAATGTTCAAGAAGATATAAAATATCATCATGTGCTTCTGGGTAACGCTGCAGCTGCAGACAGGCTGTTTGCTGCTGGATGCATTTTAAAACTATTAGTTTACTTGTTGGGTCTGACCCACGTGTTTTATCATCACTCTCTCTGCACTGGCCTTTTGCAGCTAGTTTATATTAATGCTATGTTCTTAATTTACTTTTAACAAAAAGGCAGCACGCAGAGCTGAAATTCATGAGCCAACTTGTCGCATTCAGTGTTTTCAATATTCATCTAATCTGATTGTAGAAAAAATGTTAGTAAAAGTGCTGGCAGTTCATTTTAAATACACAATAACATGATTAGTTTAACCATGTCAGCAAATATTGCAAAAGAGATCCTTTATTATGATTTTGTTTAACAGGGTTGGAGGTTTTTTGTTTTGCTAGGTTGAACTTATATTTATTAGTCGGCTATGAGAATGTCTAAAAGGCTTCTACTTTATTTACTGGGGACTGCCTACTAAGGCAGCCACTTATTATTATCCACCTGACTTAGGGTTTCTTAACTTTGTCTTACTCTTACATCAACTTTAATGCGTCCTGAACCGTAAAGTATAACCCCACAAATGTTATATCAAATGACCGGCTCAGCCCAGTGATGTGTGCTATTACTTTTATTGGCGTTTCCAGTTACCATGGCGATGTAATTTGCAAACAAAGACACCATTTTTCTCATTGAAAATCACTGAAAGAACTAACAGCCTCTAACTATCTCAGTGAGGTCACATGATCTTAAGAGGTCTCTGAACAAAACTCGGAAAGCGAACCCCAACACGCAGTGCTGCAAATCAAAATTTTAAATGGGCAGCAGCGTGGCAGTCCCCGTCAAATTTTCTCCAGGAGTTTTCTAGTTTAATTTGTTTGTTTGTTTTATTTATTTATTTAAATAATCATTCCTATAAAAATGATGACTTATTTGCAAACCAACAATAAATGTTTCTAACTGTAATCTCGGGTTTAGACTTTATTGTGTTTAAGAATCAAACCGAGAAAGAAAAAAAGACTAAATTAAAAAGAAGTTTGTGTGTTTTCTTGTCTCAGTCCAGTTGTTTCCATTTCATCACATGACCCAGATGAGTGAATCTACAGATACATCTGCAGGTTATTTTTAATTTTGATTGGTTTCCAATTGGTGGTCTTCTGTGTGTGTTTGTGTGACAGACTCTAATGGAGGCTGTGTGGCCAAGCTTTCATTCTCCTGCCCTCTGAAGGGATTCTACTGCCTTTACGCCAAGTCCTTCTTCAACCTGACGAGCACACAACCTCACCTATGGATTCACATCATGCTGCTGCATTTACAGGTGACTTCAAAGTTCCAGATGTGAAACACCTAAAACTACTGTAAAACCACTGAACCATGGCAATGTTTTGTTTTTGCCCATACTAATGAACCATTGAGTAACAACAAAGTCCATGCTCAATAATCCAGGTATACAATCCAACATTTTTCAGTCAGGTCATCTGGACAGTTTCTTTTTTTTGTGCTGAAACGTTTTGCCTTCAATCCAGAAGGCTTCACCAGTCAAGGAAACACACAACAAAACTGATTCTTCCCGCAACAGCTTACTCCAAAGTGGAACAAACCAGTTCTGCTTGTGATTAGATGGTCTCTTTGGTATCCCCCCTCCTGATGAAGCCTTCCGGACCGAAGGCGAAACGTTTCCGCACAAAAAAAAAAGAAACTGTCCAGATGACCTGACTGAAAAATGTTGAACCATTGAGTAGTTCTTATTTAAATGCATATTGATAACCTAACTGTTATTGTTGTAACAGTAGCTGACAAGAATGTTCATATAAACATCAAATCAAAATACAGAGAAAACCCATTCTTAGCTTGGCTAAATACTTTTGGTTAATCAGTTTACACATTCCTTTTAGCACACGATCAAATTTTAATGGTAAAAAGCTGAGGTCAAAGTGATACAGACGTAGCATGTGTTTGTAGGACACAAGCTGATAGTGGATGTGTGTAATAAAGGCTGCCACATCAATGTATCTTAAAAATGCCACTGCTTCCCTCTAGATGAGAGGCGCAAACACTGCAAATAATATTTGTTATCATTCTTACACACATCATCATTCTTTGTTGTTGAAATGAGGGAGCTGAGCTGTTTACCAGTCGGGTCTTTGTTCTTACCCTCACCTATGGTAACAAACTGGATGGATGGATCCACTTGCTCTCGTGCAAGGCGGACACCTCCTCTCCTTCTCCTGTTCTCCTGCTTTTGTTTACTCTCTGTCTGTGTCTCGGGGCTCCTATTTACACATCTTCTGAAATGAAAACAACCGTCATGGATCTGGTCAGTTGGACTTTCAACACATTCAACAAAATCTTTTCAACAAAGTGACATGGTCCTGGAGGCCCCCATGTCCCGCTGAGACTCATACGGCAGGATACGTCATGAATCCGTGGGGAGTTTGGGAGCTGATGTGTCCTTCCATTCTGTCTCAGGAGAATGCCGAAGATGTTTATATAACTGGATTCATGATAGCAGGGTTTCTGCTCTCTGGCATCGGTGGATTTCTGTGTTATTGACTATTAAGGAATATGGCAGCAGCAGTCGGCAATGAAAAAAAAAACTGCCAAGTCTGTGTGAAGGTTTGGTTCGTGCTTCAAGTACTCAAAATCAGCTGATTTATGAGCTAAACTGTAAGATGGAAGTGATTTGTGAGATTGCAGGCCACCTGTGACTTTAGGACTCGCCAGCATGTTGGAGATGACCTTGGAGGAGCCTTGTAGGCACGGACCAGTGGAATGCCCACTAATCTGTCCATTTTGGATCTTAAAAGTACCAGCAGGACTCAAGGCTGACAAAAAAAACAGTCTTCCTGAAAAAAATCAACAATTGTGCCTTGTCTGAATCTGACTCCCCCGTCTGGCCTCGAAAACAGGACGACTTATCAAATTTCTCCTGGGCTATGTGTAAACTAAGGAAAAAGCTTTGTCTATCGCAACACCCCCCGAGAACTTCTGTGAAGGCTTATCAGAGCTGTGCCGGTTGATGAGCATCATATCAGGATTACACTACAGTCTATCTGGAAGTGCTTCATGGACAAATCTCACCGTCTTGTCATAAAATGCATATGTAATGTGTTTATAAATGTGCTGGCAGAGTTTTTTGATGTCTTAAATTGTGTCCTGATGGGACAAGATGTGAAAATATATTTTCTGTAATGCCACTATCCATCCTCATGGATTTTTCCCCTTTTCCATCTAAAAGTTTTCTGAAAAAGAATAAGGGGCCGCGCTCCAGTAGCAGCAGCAACGTGCACTCTGCCCATCTTTTGGACGACTGTACAAACATAATCTCACTGTATCTTGGTACAATGATAATAAAGCTTATTCTGAATCTGATTCTGATAGATGGATGGTGTATTCGAGCAGCAGTTATGAGGGTAATAGCTGGGGGAAAAACATCCTCCTTGCCAACTATTATTTAACAATATTTAGAAGTTTTATTTTACAAAACTGTCATTGGCCTTTATTTTGTAGTATAGGGTCATTCATTAAAAGCAAATGAGTGCCTATCCCCCCCCCCCCCCCCGACCTTTTTGGCTCCTTTCTCAGGGGTTGCCACAGTGTTCGAACTTACACAAAGTCTTGGCAATTGTTTTTATGCCAGCTATCCTTCCTGATCCAGCCACACATGTGCCCGGAAAGCAGATACTTAAAAGTATTCAGAATCCAAATTAACAACAACCTGTTGTTTTATTAAGCCATTGATTGTAATTTGAATCTATTTTCCTCCATCTAGAACCCAACAATGTTCAATGACCTGACTGAACATTGTTGGATTTTTTACCTGGATGATTGAGCATGAACATTTTGCATTTTGAAGACCTAAGTGTGAGCTTTAAATATGTTGATTCTAAATAAAGCGTGGATCATTTTAAAAAGACTGAACTGTTGAAGTATGCAAAAAGTATTTCTGTGTTTTCAAATAAGACCAAAAACAGGCATTTAAATGAAAAATAATAAATAAAAATTTACAGTGTCTGTGTAAAATGTTCCAGAACATACCGCCAGAACAGCTTCAAAACAACTTTTTATTGAACCTCAAATTCTTTGCGTCTCTGCTGGAGGGATTCGTGAACTTTTCCAAGAATGTTTCCTCATTTGGTATTTGCTATTTCTCTGAAGCACCAGCTGTGCTCAACACACTGGTCACTGCATGCATGTCTCAATGCTTAACATCAGTTTTTATGATGGGATTTTATTGCTGGAGTAAATGTTTTTGGTAGGTCGGTTATCTCAGTTTACCGTCCTCTGTTAGATGAGCTAACAAGTTTATCTTGGATGCTATCTGTGCCATCTGGTAATTCCTGTGCTTCATATTGATGTGGTCATGATGCATGTGAGGCAAAGCCTACATTGCTTTGGGAAAGTATACATACCCCCGTGACCTGTACAACCCCTTTTAAAAGCAAATTTCAAGTCTTGCCAGAGATTTTCAGATTCAGGACTGGACTTTGACTGGGTCATTCAAACACAATGCTTTGATATTAACCACTCTGCTGCAGCTCTGGTTGGATATTTAGAGTTGTCTTACTGGAAAGTGAACCTCTGTCTCAGTTTCAAGTATGTTGCAACGTCTAACAGTTTTGTTTTTTTCCCCAGGAATGCCTTGTTTTTTTTTTTTATTCATCTTCACATTAGCTCAACCAGCTTCCCTGTCCCTGCTGGAGAACAGCATCCACACAGCATGCTGCTGCCCTCACCATGTTTCATAGTGAGGACAGTGTGTTCAGGGTTATGTGCAGTGTTAGTTTTCCGCCAATCAGTGTTTTGCATTTAGGCCTAAAGACAGACTTTTGGTCTGATCTAATCAGAGCTTTCTCCACTGTATGCTGTGACCCCTACATGGCTTGTGGCAAACTGCAAACAGGATGTTTTATGTGTTTCTTTCAACAATGGCTTCTCTGCCATTCCTCCATAAAAGTAAAATTTCTGGAGTCCACCACTAAGACAGTATTTGTCCTGTCAACAGATTCCATCACCTGACTGTGGATCTTTGCTGCTCCTTCTTGGCTACTTCTTGTATTAATGCTCTCCTTGCCTGGCCTGTTAGATTAGGTGGATGGCTAAGTTATGAAGGTTTGCGGTTGTGAAATGGATTGGCAAGTAAGGACCCAAAGATGTAAACTGACACAAAGACTATAAAAATTAGTTAATCCCCAAAACAAGATAAAATGATGACAGGGCAGCAAACCAAAATGCTGAAAACTAAACCAATATGGAGCTAATGGGGAACACTCAGACAAGCATACAGGACGATGGACTGGAGCTTGAATAAGAATCAGAAGGATAAGTAGTGGGGTGACAGATGAAACTAATGAACATGAGGAGCAGAAATGAAAGATTAAATGTGATTTAAAAAAGACTGAGACAGGGAGACACTGAGAAACTAAACCCAAGGAATCTCAAAAATAAAAGAAGGAAAAATATGGTAACATATAAGCACAATTACAAAAGGAATAAAACAAAACGGCAGCACGGTGGCGCAACTGGTAGAGCTGCTGCCTCTCAGCGAGCAGGTCCTTGATTCAAACCCCAGTCCAGGGGCCTTTCTGGGTGGAGTTTGCATGTTCTCTCCGTGCATGCGTGGGTTTTCTCCGGGTGCTCCGGTTTCCTCCCACAGACCAAAAACATGCATGTTAGGCTGATTGGTAACTCTAAATTGTCTCTAGGTGTGAGTGAGAGAGTGAATGGTTGTTTGTCTCGTTTGTCTCTATGTGGCCCTGTGATGGACTTGCGACCCGTCCAGGGTGTACCCCGCCCCTCGCACAGTGATTGCTGGACATGGGCACCAGCGACCCCCGTGACCCAAAATGGAATAAGCGGGTAAAGATAATGAATGGATGGATAAAACAAAACAGCTAAAACAAACACAAACTTCATGACCATGAAATCCACTTCACCATTATTCACAGTTTTGTTGCTCATTCACATAAAATTCCAGCATATAACTTTGAAGTTTGTGGCTGTATTGTGACAAACTTTGTAAAAGCTTCAAAGGGTATAAATATTTTCATAAAGCACTGTAAACATCAAACTTGTCCATGTTGTCAGTGAACCAGTTGTTCTGTGCAGATTTTTATGGCCAAATGGCATCAAAATACAGACTTACTATTTCTTTTTGTTGAAACATCTGAAAAGTTTCAATAAATAGAAACTATCCAGAGGACCTGACATAACTTTGTTGGATTTTTCTACCTGGATTATTGAGCATGAATCAGGAAGTTCTCCGTTCTCAGTCAGTGAGGTTAATAAACTGTTAAAAGATCTTGATCCTAAAAAATATGCAGGTCCAGATGAACTTCCACCTTATTTCTCAAGGCTGGACGCTCATATCAATACAGTCCCTGTGGCCCACAACTTTAACCTGTCCATAAGCCAAAACTCCATTCCAGATGCTTGGAAAACAGCCTTTGTTCTTCCGTTGCTGAAGGGAGGTGACCAGACCTCACTGAACAACTATCGACCAATCTCTAAACTCTGCATTTTAGCCAAGGTTCTAGAAAAACGGATAAACTCTCAAATTAAAAATTACCTGGACTCATTTAACATCTTACCTCCACATCAATCTGGTTTCAGGAAGCAACACAGCACAACCACTGCTTCACTGAAGGTTCTTAATGACATTGTTGAAGCACTGGATGCTAAGGATTATTGTGCTGCACTTTTCTTAGACCTGTCTAAAGCTTTTGACACTGTGGATCATAACATCTTGTGTCATAAACTCTCAGAAATCGGTTTCTCAGAACACACCATTGGTTGGTTCTCTAAATACCTCTCAGACCGGAGGCAATGTGTTCAACATAATGGTTCTTCCTCCAGTTATTTAACAGTCAACAATGGTGTACCACAAGGCTCAGTCTTAGGACCCACCCTCTTTACAATCTACATACATAATGTAGGTAAAAACATCCCTAATGCATCCATACATTTCTATGCTGATGACACAGTTGTTTATTGTCGAGCTAAAACTGTTGCTAAGGCTTTCCAGCTTTTGAAATCTGCATTTGACATCATCCAGACAGATTTGTTCCACCTCAAACTTGTCCTAAATGCCGACAAAACCGAATGGATGCTTTTTTCAAATAGGAAGTTGGTCCCAGCAGTTTTTCCTCCAATTTCATCCTCAAATGGTGTCCCCATTGAGTTTGTTGATTCCTATAAATATTTGAGTATCTTGGTTGACTCGCATCTCTCTTTTAAGCTCCATGTGGAAAACCTAGTAAAGAAACTGAACGTTAAACTGGGTTTCTTTTTCAGAAACAGATCCTGTCTAACTCTGAATGATAGGAAACGCCTTGTATCTGTGATTTTCCTTCCCTCCATTGATTACGGTGACATTATTTACATGAACGCTCCTACAAGCACCCTGCAGATGTTGGATGCTGTCTATCATGGTGCACTAAGATTCATAACTGGCTGTGATTATCGTACCCACCATTGCACCCTGTATTCACTGGTTAACTGGACATCATTAACTTCACGCAGACACTCTCACTGGTACATTTTCATCTTTAAATCACTTCTTGGTCTGTTGCCTTCATACATCTCCTCCTACATGTCTCTGCGTGAGTACAGCTACAGCGTGCGCTCTCAGGACATTATTACCTGAAGTGTTCCCTCAGTGAGGACTGAACTTGGCAAAATGGCCTTCTCCTACTCCGCTCCTGTTTCCTGGAATATCTTACAAAAAGATTTGAAGCTCTCGAATTTGACCTCTCTAAGTGGCTTTAAGAATCTGTTGGACTCCTGACAGGGACCAATGTAGACATGTTCCTGTTTTTAGTTTTCTACATACGCCTTAGAATCTAGCTGTTTTTTGTTACTTTTTTTTAGCCATCTTATTTGTAAAAAAATAAAATTAAAATACTGTATGCCTTTTTATAACTGTCTATTGTTGTAGCTGTTGTCCATTGTTGTCATCTTTCTTTGTTGAAATCAGGTCTTTCTTGTAAATAAGTCCTCGAGGCTCAATGGGATTTACCTGTCTAAATAAAGGTTGAATGAATGAAAAAGTTGTTCCTTTTAAGTTTTCATGCCTCTGTCATTTTAGTTTTTTTTTCCTGTTCTTCCTACACTGTATTTCTTCTGTTTTTATACCAACTTATCTTAGTCCACGTTGTTTTGTTTTGTTTTCTTTCATTAAAAAAAAAATCTTTCTTTTAACCAGAGTGAGTCCAGTGTCCCGCTGTCCTCCAGAGACAAGTGTGTCCAAAGATTGGCTTTTCTCTGGGAGAAGACGCAGCTTAAAGGCTCTCACAGTTTTTCTATGGCCATGACACAGAACACCACCCCACTGAGGAAGGTAACTGGACATGAGCAAGTGTGTGTGTGTGTCTTTGTATTTGTTACCTTGTAAGGCCCATTTTTCTAACGCATACTACAATGTGAGGTTGCGAGGTACAATGTGTTAATTTTTTGTATTGAACATTTTTTGAATACAATGTGAGGACCAACTTCTCCTTATGAGGCCCAAAGCCCGGGCCCCATATTGCCGTTGGTGGGTTAGGGGTTAGGTTTAGGACTAAGGTGTGAATTGACGGTAAGTTAGGTTTAGAGTTAAGTATGTACTGGTAATGGTTAGGTTGAGGGGTAGGGTCAGAGTTAGGCTATAGAAATGAATTAAAAATGAATGGAAGTCATTGCAAAGTCCCTGTAAATATAGAAAGACAAACGTGTGCGTATGCGTGTGTGTGGTCATGCTGACTTGCTTTAAAAAAACACTATCTTTCTCCTGCAGAGGGAATGAGGTCATCACTGGTGTGGAAAAACAAAAACCTGAAAGAAAGGAAAGGGAAGTGTCTTCTGTGTTTAGATATGGACTCTATTAAACGGGTGTTTCTTTATACAAAGGCGTCTCTCTGCTCTGACTCTTTGTGTTCAGGTTTGTTTGTCTGTGTGTGTCAACGATTGAGCTACAAAGTGAATCTCAGCCGGTTTGACATAAAAACTGTGTGACTGTGCTCGTGAGCGTGTTTGTGTGCATTTTTGAAAGTATGTGGATGTGTTTTTTGCAGACCCTTCACAATGTGACAAGTTAAGAGACCATTAGGAAAGAATTAGACCCACAGAGAAAAGCCATCTGTCCATCATCTTTCCTCTAAATATACCAGCTATGGTTACCACACAGAGTCTGGATTTATCACAAGTACCCCTACATGTGTTCACAGCAAGGTTTCCACTTATTCATGCTTTTTTTTTAAAAGATCTATTGTCCCAGTTTTTTTCTAAAATGTGCATGTTCCATAACTTCAGAGAATATCACAGTGATTACATCAGTGTTGTGGATTTGTTTATTAATCCTAGTTACATACTTATATACGCCTGAATTTATGTCAAACTTAAACTATATTATCAGCTAATATAATTCACACTCAAGGACAGAGTATGAATATTGAGCTAAAATTGTATGTGGTGGTAGCTGAGAGTTATCCCAAACAAATACTCTTAAGCGCTAAATGATTGTGCAAGTTTTTACTGTACTCTGTGGAATTCAGAGTCAGAGTCAGAGTCAAAGTTTCTTTATTGTCATTCGCACCTCATGTGGTACATGTGGTGGAGCGAAATTATGTACACAGGGTCCCAGTTACATCCAACAATAAAATGTCTAAGAAAAACAGTAATAACATCTAAGATATGAACTAAGAAAAACATCAACTAAATATACACGAAGCACTCATAACATAAAACATTGAACATCAGCACAAACATGAACATGAGTCTGTGAGCAGATGTGCACGCATGAACACATCAACATTGAAACAGATCAGCAGCAACATGAAACGGATCAGCAGCAACATGATATGGTTTTTCACAGTGATTATTCTAGTTAGAGATTCATGAGTCTAACAGCCTAAGCCAGAATTATGCTTATTATTGATTCAAAATGTCTGTAGTTCTCCTTTCTTAACATAGGATGATATTAGAAAGCATTGGCTCAGAAGGTGGCTGTAATGAATTAAAATAGGGACCCAGAAATTCATCCACCACAGAGACGTGAATGAAAATATTTGTTGGAAATTTGTTAGGAGGGGAACTCCTGAGGAAGAATGTCAGCTGAAACTCTGCAGAGAGAGAGAGAACAGGTTGGTGACTGGGATTGCCTTGAGACTATGAGAATGTGAGAGGTTCTGAAGCACTAACCTGCAGAGTTTGAACACGGGTGGAGATGCAGCAGTTGCGATGACATCAGAGGAAAGGAAGGTTTGGAGGGACGGAGGTACAGCCAGATCCGTGATGTGCGAATATAACCTGGAATGTCCAACAAACACTCCTCTTCAGCTTGCGGAGCTTGGTTCTGGGAACTCACAACTCCCTTGAGTCTGGAGTCAGAGATCGTGGTCAAAATACAGGCAAGGGTCATTCACAGAGATGCACAAAAGGCAATAATTATCAGTGGGGTTTAGCGGGAATCGGTGGTCAGAAGGCAGAGCGAAAGTCGAGGTCCAGATAGCCGAGTGGCAGAAGCATCCGTCATGGGCAAGGCAAAAAGGAGAGGAGTCTGGGGTCATGAATTGGGTCATAAACAAGAGCAGGAACAAGAACGCTGGATACTTCAGGCATGAGGTGATTAGATAATCTGGCAGGGAGGCAGAGACTGGGGAGCGCTTAAGAAGCGCAGCGCACAGGTGCTGCAGGATGGAGAATGAGAGTGACACAGGTGAGCTGAGTGAAGCTGATGAGTGGAGGAGTTTAGCAGGGCAAGCAGAAAATACATAAACATGGGCCTGACTTGACATGAAACATGAATCATTACAGGTGGCAAACAATCTTTTTTTTAATTTTTTTTTTTTTTATCTAGTTCAGTTATTGGCAGTTTTACAGCAGGCATGTTTGAACCAAAGAACATTGTCAGCAACCATTAAATCATGGTTCAGAAAGACAGAGATGAAAAACCCACAACAACACAGGTACGTAAAAACAAATTTGTTTTGGAGTTAGAAAGTCACAATGTCTGTGGAAAGAACTGAGTTGAGATTAGAAAGGTTTCCAGTGGTGAGGATTTAAGGATTTGTGTGCATCAGGACTGGTGCAGAAGTGAAGAGTTCTGTTTTCTTCTTCTTTTGACTGTCCCCTTCTTCCGTGGTCGTCACAGAGAGCTAACTCGCACACAGACTTTGCAATTGTTTTTATGTCCTTCCTGACACAACCACAGACCACCGAGCTATCACAGCCCTCTGTGTGGAGCAGAGAGCTGCTATCTAGGGCCTCCAGGTGAGCAGATGGTGGGGGTTAAGGGCCTTGCTCAAGGGCCCAGAGTGGGGCAAATGTGGTTGGAGGCATATGTGGGTGTTTCACCTTTTCCATCCACGTTTTGATATTGTCGGTCGATGGGGTTGAACCGGTGACCTTACGAACACAGGCTCGCCTTCTCTAACCTCTGCACCACCACTCCCTCGAGAAGGAAAGAGCTCCGTAAGTCACTGAAATGCCTATTCAAATTTCGGGGATCAGACAAAAGGTTTGGTGATTGGGGTGAGTCTTATCAACAGATAATCAATTAGGCTATATTTTTAAAAGAATCAGTCATTTTAATAAAATATAGAAACTCAGGAAACGTAGTTTCATATGTGTTGGGATAGGTCATTCTGCCACAGTTTTTTCTTGTCCAGGTCAGTCTTCACCTGCCTGTTTCGTCTATTTTCAAAGATGCATCCTAAAAATCAGTGAGGAGACATAGCCTTGACATGAAGTTGGTTCTCTATGAGTCACTGCAGTACATGTGTCTGATGTGGTTTGAAGGGTCTCTAAAAAACAATCATCCAGATATATGAACAGAAGTTAATGATATCTCTCCAAATGTTTATCTAACAAGGTTGAGTCAGGTCCTCTGGCTGGGTTCTTCTTTGTTGAAATGTTTTGTCTTCTTTCCAAAAGACTTCTTCAGTCTGACTAGTTTCAGGCAATCCTGGCCAAAGTGGTTCAAAGTTGGGTCAGGTCCTTTGGACCTGACTCAAAATCTTGTTAACTAATGCATAAAAGATGGTGGGGACATTGGGTAATCCTATAGGCATGACCAGGTACTCAAAATGTCTCATTGGGGTTTTCAGCCTTCCACTAATTTGCTTATAGTATACATATGAGATGTGTTTCTTAGGTCCAATTTAGAAAAAATATGTTTATAATTGTTAAAAATGTTAGTGGATACTTCCAACATTTTTCAGTCAGGTCATCTGGACAGTTTCTTTTTTTTTGTGCTGAAACATTTCGCCTTCGGTCCGGAAGGCTTCATCAGTCAAGGAAACGCACAACATGATTCTTCCCCCAACAGCTTACTCCAAAGTGGAACAAACCAGTTCTGCTTGTGATAAGATTAGTGGATACTTGTGTTATACCACAATTTGAGTCAAACTCTGATAATCAATGCAGGCTCACAGGGTCCTGTCCTGTTTCTCCATGAAGAAAAAAATCCTGTTCCTAACACATGGTCTCCCTTTTCTGGTTTGGACAGGCTATACAGTTGACTTGAAGAAGGTAGAGCTACAGGTAGCAAGTCAATGCCACAGTCATAACACCAATGAGGTGGCAGAGAAAAAGTTTTTTGTTACTGAAAACAAGCAGGATCTTGATGGTCATGATACACTGTGGGGATTGTGGAAACATCAGTGGGTAACTATGGGTGCACAGAGCATGAATACTGGAGGTAAAAACAACAGAGCATAGGCAGTTGGATGGGCAGATTGGATTCCAATCATCGACTCTCTTTTCTACACTATTAATCGTAGGGATGTGCTTTTCGAATCATGGGTAGCCAAAAAATTGGGGTGAGTAAGGTGAGAAAATTATCAAAAACCTACTCACTTCCCAATGGTTACCAGAAACAATAAAGTGGATGGGTACTTTCTGGTGCTTTATAGTGGTTAGGACTTGTCTGTTGAGAGCAGAGTCAAAGAGTGGCTTAGGGAGGATTAGTGATTATCTTCATCCATTTTTAAAATACTCTGTTAATTCCCAAAGGGGAAATAAAGTCTCTGCATCTTTCTAACTGAACATGTGAGCACACACGTGGAACAAAGGCTGCCATCTAAGGCACCCAGGGAGCAACAAGTAGGTTAAGGGCCTTTTTCAAGGGCACACAGTGGGACAAATAATGGTAGAGGCAGATATGGGTGCTTCGCCTTTCCTACCCAGATTTTATTGTGCTGGTCTAGGTATTCAAACTTGCATTCTCTCGATCACAGGCTTGCTATCAGTGCCCAACTGTTTAATAAGTTCTTCATCAATGAAGTATTGCTCTGCACCAGAGTTAACTAAAGCTTATAATATAAGGTGGGTTGTTTAAAACATAGAATGGTAGTTAACAAG